TTATATATATATATATATATATTATAATATAATATATATTATATATTATTATATAATATACATATTATATATATTATATAATATATATCTTATTATAGGAACAAAATGGGATCGGGAAGAAGAAGCCCCCGATCGAGCTAGGTCACGCACGGGGAAGCTCGGGTCGGAGACGGCGGCGGGCTCGGCAGTCGGCAGAGGCGGGCTGGTCGGGGTTTCGTCAGGCCGGAGGCAAGTCGGCCGGTGTGTCGGCTTTGTGCACGACGATGTGATGTTTGTGTGGAGATGGTGAAGAAGTGGCTGGCGTGATGTATGGTAGAGAGCAGCAAATCACTGGTTCAACGGCCTTATACAGTTGATCGGAAGACTTCGAGCTTCGCGGCAGTCGACTAGGGCAGAGGGTTCGCGAGATCGACGTCGGAAGAAGAGGTAAGTCGCAAACCCCTTTCTCTCTTCCTTGCAATTTTTGTGCATGTATCTCTGTAACCGAATGAGAGAGGGATTTTATGTCGTGAGTGAGGCGGTGGGTGAGCGGTTGTGTCGTTTGGGGCTTCAGTCGGTGGGGAGCGGCATTTATAGTCAACAACACACAAAACAGTTCTTGCACTCAAATGTATATTGATTAAATTTTGATCAGATTCTAGAATCAACAAAGCAATGTTTTGACCAAGTTGAATCTACAGCATGCTAAGAACTTTTAACCCCAGTATGCCAATAAACAGAAACTGCCCTCCAACTTATCTCATAATTTAACTAAAAATGCGCCAAACATTTCAAAAACTTTAAGAATAATAACAATGTACCTGTCTGTAGAGATGAAGGAATAAATATTAGATTGTATCACTGCATAATATAACTAGCACCGCCAAAAATTTTAAATAAACAGAAAGTAAGCACAAATATGGCTTAAATTGGTAAAATTTCCAGGTTAAACAAGCAAACCTTTACAGATTGGCAGGTGAAATATATCATTGAGAGGTGTATGGTGCACTAGCTTCAAAGCTAATCTCAAATATGGCATGCAAGGGAAAATAAAAGGCAATATGCTGTTTCGGAACTAGCATGAATTTTACATGCTCGCATTTTTTAAAATGTGAAAAATACATGAGAAGCGAGTTTCAGTGCCTAGCATTAAAATTTAAAACAAACTGCTTTTTTAAGAAGCCTTCATGCGAAGCTAAATGATAATGCATCATTGGGAGCTATCATGCAATGGATTTTTTTTTTCTTCCTTACTATAAATACAACAATAACAAAAATAACATAACTTTATCCCACTTCGTGGGTTTGACTATATAAATCATTTTATCCATTATGTCCTATTAAGAGTCAAATTTTCATTTAAATCTAATAAAAATGTCATTTTTAATACTTTCTAATCAATTTTTTTTAGTTCTACCTCTATCTTTCTTACATAGGCCAGATCTAATAAATCTACTCTCCTAATAGGCATGGGCGGATCCCCATAGTAGTGAGGGGGGGGCAAATGCCCACCCTCAAATTTTTTAAAAAAAAATTATAGGGTATTTTTTGGAATATTTTGGGTATTTTGCTAATTTTGCCCCCTCTCAAAAAAAAAAATTTGCCCTAATTTTATCAATCCTAATCATTTTTGCCCGTCCCCTACCAAAAAAATTTTTTTTGCCCACCCTAAAAAAAGAAGCTGGATCCGCCCCTGCTAATAGGGTCATTGAAAGGCTAATGTTTTTTTTTTTTTTCCCTTAGAAAAAACAAATTGATAATGCATAGATTTAAAAAAAAAATGTTATCAAACTAGGGTGGGTTAAAATGACTTCACCTAACTCAAAAACAGTTGAGATGAAATAAACTAGCACAAGCATTGCAAAAGTGTTAAATAAAAGTTTTTTGGCAGCATCTTTTACAATACTTAAGTGCTTCTTGATGAATTGTGTAATGTATTACCAAAATTACAATCTTAAGAAAGGTGATGTAATGATAATGAAAGACGATCAATAAATACAATTTAGCTGTTCAATTCAACGCCGATAAGTTCATCTATGAAGAAGTAATATGTAATTGATAGTACATGAATAACCAGCACATGATCTATAATGCAAGCAAATTAATCATTCATTACTTTGTTATGTTGCAAACGCAATTAAAATTTGCTACAACTCTAGAAAAGATTTGCAGATAATATTTAGATCAACTTAACATACAGTATGTTAGAAATTGCAAACAATTACCTTGAGAGTTGGTACAACAAAACTTTAACTGGGGCTATCCCTATTCAATTAGTACAAACTATAATGAAAAAAGAATGCCAAAATAGAGAAGCAAATTAATCAACAAAACAAAGAAAAGCCATCCTAATGCTAAAACTAGAAAGGCTCTTGGCGCTCTGAAATAAAACAGCAAACAATGATGACTATAGGCAGAAAAATTGCAAAAAAAAATGAAAAAGAAATCCGTGCTAATGAAGGGATAGAAACTAAATTCACAAAGATAGGAAGATTAACACAAAAATATTTTGTTTTAAAGACAAATCTACAATACCTCAACTTCCATCGCACTGAATCCAAAACCTGAGTCTCCTTCAACAGCAACGACCAACCTGTCAGGTGAAGCTACTGCAGCAGCAATGCAGTAACCCAAGCCAACACCCATCGTTCCCCATGTCCCTGCGTCTAGCCGTGTCCTCGGCTCAGTCTGTACCAGCACAGCTCTTCCAACATCCATAGTGTTCGCACCTTCCGAAACCAATATTGGAGCTGGGCTTCCTTGCGCAAGAATTGCATCCCTTATTATCCTCATGGGTGTAAAGAAGTTAAATGGCACTACGTCCTTAGCCAACTGTATTTCCATCTTCGCCACATTATCCTTTGCCTTTTTGGAAATAGCAGCTACCCAAGGATGCGACTTCCCCAAGCAGAAAGGATCATCCTTGATCTCCCTGTTGATCAAATCCAGAACTGTACCAGCATCTCCAACCAAACCAAGATATGGCTTCCTCAACTCAATCTCCTCCTTTGATACATCCACCAGAATAAACTTCACGTCCGTTGACCACTTGGGCGGCTCCCCAAAGTGCAGCAACCAGTTGAGACGAGCACCAACTACCAATACAACATCACAACCGCCAATGGCAAGTGATCTAGCAGCGGTGGCTGCAAGCTCATGAGTATCAGGCAATAAGCCTTTCCCCATTGGCGTAGGGAGAAACGGAATACCCGTTGTCTCAATCAATTTCTTCAGGGAATTTTCAGCACGGGCATAGGCCGCGCCTTTGCCGAAAACAATCAGCGGCTTATCCGCCTTTCTTAGCAAACCTACGGCCTTCTCAATATCCAAGTTACTAACGCTATCCCCAATCACTCGAAACCTAGGGTTTTCTGCCTCGGACAATAACAAAGAGGCATCTTCTACGGAAACTTTTTGATGCAGGACATCAGTGGGGAGGTCTAAATAGCAACCACCGGGCCTTCCTTCGACTGCGTGGCTCAACACAGTGAGAACAACCCGGGGAATATGAGAAATTTCTGTTGCCTTGGCGGCAAATTTGACAAAGGGTTGGACAGCGGCGATCTGATCGAGCTCCTGGAAATCACCCTTTCCGAAGTCTCTCTGGTCGCAAGATCCAGAGATCATAACCGCTGGCCAGGTGTTCACGGTGGCGTTGGAGAGACCCGCAAGTCCGTGGACGCAACCGGGACCGGAGACGGTAAGGAAGACACCTGGGCGTGAGGTAAGGTAGCCATAGGCAGAAGCAGCGTAGCCGGCGGACTGTTCGTTGTGGAAGGCAATAAAGCGAATGCCAAGCGCGACGGCGCGAGTAGCCAGTGATGTAACCGGGATGCCAACGACGCCGAACATGTGCCTGACGCCGGCGAGGGCGAGGGCACGGGCTGCTAGAACGTTTCCATCGATTAGGATCTGGCTCTCCTCGGTGTTTGGAGCTGAGGTTTTGGAGTCCGCCATGGCCAAAGTTCGGGGTGCCGTGTATTAGAGAGCACTGAGGAGGAGATAAAAAGCTTTGAGCTAATGCTACGGTGCGATGATCCGCTTTGCAATGAAGGAGAAGGCTTTAAATGAAATAAAGTAAAGAAACGAGTCAAAGCACGTCTGCAACAAGTTCTGAGCCGTGCGCGTTTCTTTGGTAAATTTGCTGAAATGTGATGCTATTTAAAAAGTCTGTAGGAGCAGCTGCAGCAATTCGTAAAAATAATGGTAGAGTTATCGTGAAAACAAAACTTTAAAATTACTTTAAATATTGTAAATGAAAATTTTTAAAAAATAAGCAGCATATTCCCTAATATTAGATATTGTAATTTTTTTTTTTTTTTGGGAAAATGAGGGCAAAAAGCTCATATATTATCATGTAAAAGAAGGTTATAAGTAAGGTATAACAAAAAAGGTTAGACCTCAAACATTGAGGTGCAACCAAAAACTTATACCCCCAGAGAAAATAAAGACAATTGAAGCAAAAGAAATAAGAACTGCCATCCACAATAGATGCAAAAGCATTTAAAGGACTCAGACTGCTAATCGCATACACAAGCAAAGTAGAAAATCGGCAGCCACGAAAAATAATCTCATGGTTTCTCAGAAGAAGGCCCTCCAAGGAGATGATTAGCAGCTACATCATCGTCCTTGAACGAAATTCCAACAAAATTGAAAGTCCCCAGTTGCAAAAAACAGCCATCCAGAGGGCTGTATCAAAATCCAGAACATAAAAACAAAGTAGAAGTTCCCACCATCCAGGGTGCAGACCAACAAAGCCCCCCACCTTCACATCTAAGCAACCCATCTGAAGATAAATTCCCCAAAACACCAGCATCTCAAAGCCAACCAACAGCAAAGCAGCAATTTCGTTACACATGCCAAGGGATAATCAGATTTTCAGAATGTTTCCAAGAAGAAATATTGGCCTCAACAGCAGACTTAATGACCAAGCATAGAGAAGAAGTGCTTCTAAATTTAAAATTGAATTTTCTTTCGTTTCTTTCCCTCCAAAAATAGCATGTAGCACAACAGGCCGTGAGAAAGAGCAGTTCTTTTTGTTTTATTCCCAAATATGTCTGATCTCCCAAAAAATTAATAACTTGTCGTAATCTTGGTCGTAGCAGAAAATCTCCCACCATGGGAATGAGGTTATGTAAAATAGTGAATGAATAATCACATTCAAACAGTAAATGATAATTGGTCTCAGGATGAGAAAAACAAAAAGAACAGGTAGAAGGCATAAGAATGGATCTTTTAAGAAGTTCTTCAGCTGTTTTGAGCCCATTATTGAGGACAATCCACGAGTATATAGAATACTTAAGTGCATAGTGCTTATGCCACACAAATTTATACCAGTCCACCGTTCTTTCCTCCCTATGGTAAAAATTGATAAAAGAAGAGAAACAAGCCTTTGTCCTATTATGCCAGAATAAAGTGCCATTCGAATTTTGATTATAGCCAATATGCTGAAAGGTGTGAGACAGAGCAGCTGGAGCTGCTCTCGATAACATCCAACCATCATTCCCCAAAAAATCTGAAATACTGGCATGGTGTGGGATTAAATTCTCAAGATTATAGTTAGAGAAATCAGTCATAATAGACTTTCCATAGAGCCAAGGGTCCCACAAAAAGGAGATAATGCTATTCGAATTGAGATCAAAACATATAGTAGGAGTAATTTGTGTTGCCGCCCTTCCAATCTCACTCCAGGTATTTGAAACATTGCACTATGCCGGTGTCCAAGGGGTGCCATATTTGACATAAAGAAAATCGAACAAAATAGATTTGGAATTATAAAATCTGAAAATCAAAGAACAGGAATTAGCAAATTGTAGGCTAGTAAGGTCAGGAATGCCCAGCCCACCCAAATGCTTAGGTCTACAAGTTCTCTTCCATGAAATTAGTTGGAGTTTCCTGGTGCCCGGGTCACCAAAAACTGTTATGATGAGTCGGAACATTTGAAATTACCTGAAAATGAAACTGTCTTATCAATGAAGTAATAACAATCAATTAACAGCAAACTACACTTTTGACCGTTATAATAAAGTATTACATATGATATTTTATATCGTTTTTTAAATGTAAAAGGACACGTTTCCTAAAACATATAGTAGGCTGCAACGCAACAGCCGTACGGAAGATGCCTTCCCTAGGCTTGCCTTCCCTGGATATAAGGAAATATAATTGAAAACAATGAGGTTTTATATCAGAATATTTTATTAAAAATTTATTAAAATAGACCTCCAAATTCATGTTAGGCAAAATTTTAAAAATAATTTAATTATAAATTAATTAAACAAAAAGCCTTGTTTTAAGATAATTTAAATTATTTAACATTTAAAAAAAAATGCAATAAGGAAATTAGTATTTTCTTAAGAAAATTTAAAAAATATGTACGACATATTTTTTTAGAGGGAAAATTATTGCATCAGGTCACCGGACGCGGAGAATAAGTTCGGACGTCCAATAAAAATTTGCCACGTCAACTTCGCTTTTGACTTGCGCTTTAGTTGCGCTTTTGACTGCGCTTTACCTGCGCTTTTGATGCTCTAAATTTAAAATAATATTTTATTAATATCCGAACCTATTTCCGCGTCCGGTGACCGGATGCAATAATTTGCCTTTTTAGAGGGAGGGGATTCCAAAGTTTAGAAACACCCTCTTGATCTTAAATATTATTTTTATTTGCAAGTTTCATGCACATCTATTTCTATTCCTTGCTCTTCGTAGGTCACGTGATTTATCTTCTCCGCTCGACACTAAGCCCTAATTTTGATTCATCACTCTTGTGATTCATTGTTTTCTCAATTCATTCGCAGTTCTCTTGAGTCCTGAGGAAGATTTGTTCGCAAACGATGGCATATGGGACACGAGGGAACGTTGATATCTATTTCCTGCTCTTCATTGTTCTCGATGTTCTTAACTTCAATCTCAAAGGCTAAATCAGGTGGTATATATCATTCTTCTGTAAGACTTTATGGAGTTATTAAATTTCTTACGAGAACTTAATCACATGTAAGATTCAAGTTTTTCGAATTCTTACAAGAACTTTTTTTTAGAAATTATGGAACATTTTGCAAGGTTAGTTTCTCATTTTTAACTATAATTACTACCAAAACATGTTTGATTTAATGTTTTTATACCATTCCATATTGCTAATAATCTATCAACTCTAAGGAAGTCTTGATGAATTCATGTCGAAGGGTACAAGGCGTGTTTCATGTTATGTACTATGATTTTGAAGTTTTGTCCAAATTGTCCAATTGAGGAAATTAATGAAATTTGGGATTTTGGTTCATTTGGGACAACTCTGGTGCTACATTAAACCACTTGAAAGCTATGGATTTTCTCGCACATCTGCCAAGCAAAAATGTGTTGATCCATATAAATTTAAGCTCTTTTGGTTGAAAATAGGGCTGTTCATTTGATTTAGTAGGCCCAACGTTTTATCTCTTTGACTTACACTTCATCACACTAAGCCTGCTTATGACCACATTCAAGTATGTCTAAATTGTTCAGGCTTTGTTTCTCAACTCAGTAGCTAAAGAGAAGTTACATCTTCTCTATATCTATAGCTATGGACTCGTGATAATGATGTAGCATGTTTGGATGGTTTGAAACTTCTCAAGCAACCACTACCATCATTGAGGTGATTTATGTATGGCTGGCTGTTCATAGAAAACTACATTTATACTTATCTGATTGGCATTTCTTGTTTAATACTTGCAAAACTTTTGGCTTTGAATAACTTCATATGGTTGTTCATGTTGCTTACTTCTCTAATGATGATCTGACTTAGAATAAGGTAGCTAGGATAGAAAAATGCTATCTTTGATTCAGATTACTTAGTAATGTTTGATTTTAGCAATAATTCTTTTCTGATTGACAATCAAAATCTTTAATCATTTATAGCATAAGGATATAACTTTTCCATGCTTTCTTGGTAGGAGATTGAAATTAAGGAACTTTGTTATGAACTTTGGAAACGATGAAATGTTTATATGCTTGGATTATGATATTGTAAAATATATGCTTTTTGGGGAATTGAAATCAAATAGCAGTGTAATAAGAAAAAGAATGTAAGCATCAAACTGGAAGCTAGATTTTCTGTTAATGAACGTAAGAATGAGAGCTTATTGAAATTTCAGTATGGTTGTAATATGTTCAACATCTACAATTGTTATCTAGTGTTTAGCATATCCTACTTTGAGAAGTTTCTTGTACACTTTCTATATGTATACATTAGACTATTTCTAACAAAAACTTGTGCTGTAGTGGGATTCTATTGAGAAGAAATCCACCGATTTTTTCTATGGTCGAGGAGCCTGCACTTCTTTAAATTGATTTTGAGATTCATGAGCTTATTTATGAAAAAAAAAAATCATTCTCATGGCAGCTGCCAAAGTTTATGGAGTTGATTTTTTTTGTTTCTTTTGTATTATCACTTTCAGTTGATAAATAGAAAGAAAGAAGGCTTAGGAGGGTGAAAGAAAGGTTCATGGAACATCACCTGAGTGAAAGAATAGCTTTAGTTTTCAAAGAAGTTCTACATAACCGTTCTGCTTCAATTTTAAACACTAAAAATTCATTTTGTGTCAAATGAATAAATTAGCCAATATTGCTTTTATAGTATTTGAACAAAGGAAACTTACTGCATCATGTAGTATGTATCATGTGTTTTTTTACCTCAATTTGATTGTGTTTTCTCAAGTTATTAGTTTATATAGCTCTTGATTTATTTGTTAATTTTTGGCATTATATATTTTTTAATCAGTGCTGCACTTTAATAGTGATTTTAATCCTTGCTAAAAGCGCTGCTAAAACCTTCCTATAGCAGCATTTGTGAAACCGCTGCTAAAACCTTTGTAACAAAACAAATACAGTATGTGTTTAAATCGCTGCAGTATGTCATAAAAAGTGCTGCGAAAGTCTAATTTTTTAGTAGTGAAATTCATTAACCATGGAATTAAATGGTTTCCTAAAACTAAAAATGACAAGCTAATTTAAGTTTAATAAATGAATAATTAAATAACATAAAAATTAATAAATTCAATAATAATTCAATAAACTAGCTAATTTATATCTCTATCAAACTTTAAATAAAATTTCCTCTCACAAACTCCTAAATAATTGCCTTAAATAACC